TGAGATAAAAAATTAGACAACTCAAATTTTAATATATATGGGCAAATCCACGAAACTTTTAATTTTTGTGATTTTCGAATCGAACACTTAAAAATCTGAATTATTTTAAATTAAAACTTTGGGTATCATTTTTTTTTGCTAAATTATATACAAAGGAACATTTATGTACAATATTAGAACAAAATATTTATTTGACAATTAGTTTTATAAGTTAAAAAGTGAAAAAATGCTTAAATTTCATTTGAATTTCTTGAAAAAGTTTATATTCTTAACGTTTTTATTTTTGCGGCGTGTAAAATATCACTTCAGCTACTATGGAAATATCTAACAGACATATTTTGCCAAAAAAATTTCACTATCTCATTAGTGTATCACCACTAAACCTAAAAATACAAAGGTTTGATTGAGTGATAGCACTTTTAAAAAAAATTCAATTGAACGTCTTCTTATGAAAATATCTATTACGGCGTTGGATAAAAATAAAAGTTCAATGCATTTCTTAAAAGGTGATGAAAAAACAAAACTTTTAAGACCTTCTTCAATGATGTGCCTCTAATTGTATTCCTGTGGCAACAATTTAAAGATGATAATAAAAATCGTGATTTCATTTAAATTTATACATTTTTGAAAGGCACAACTGCATTTTTGCTTTAAAAGGGTCAATCTATGGTGTCATCGAAACATTTTCATATTATATTTGAACACAAAAACGCCGCTTAAGGATTTTGAGTGAAATAAATTTTATTAAGTTATGAATATGCTGAAAAAAATTTTTTGGAGTCTTTACCCACTCTTTTCTCAAAATTTTGACGTGCTAAACAAATTTGGGTGCCAGAATCGTGTTCAGAAGACGAAAATACTTTGGAAACCACTCCGATATCAAAAATAAAAAAAGTTAAATTTTTCAATTTTATATGTAATTTATTAACATTAAAGTGTTTAAAGAGTTAAACATTGACGGCGTGAGCTAAAAATGAATCACGCATTTGAATTTGTAGTGCTTTAAACGTGTATACAAAGTGACATCAATGTGCCTGCAAATTAAAAAAAGCAATTTTTTTTTCTTTAAAGTTAAAAGTTTAGTGGATTTGCCCATATGATGTACTGCATGCCAAAGTGAAAGTCCATCTGCAATTGCATTTCCGATTTTTTTTCTGTTTGTACTAATTGAGACTAGCTTCCATGAATTTTTTCATATTTTTTTAGCAAGCCGTTTTAGAGTTATTGAATTTTGAAAATTAGAGAATTTTTATAACTTTTAATTTTTGAATGCTCATAACTTACTTAAAAATGCAACAATTTTTAAAGTCTTTTTTTCAAAATGTGTGTTTTTAAACGTTCTTTTAAAAAAAAATCGAAATTTTTTTTAAACGATATTACAATCAAATTATTGAGTTTTAATGATAAAAAGTCTATATATACTATATAACTAACTCTACTATAAAAACTATACTATACTATAAAAAAACCAAAAACATTTTTAAAAAATTCAAAACTCAAAAATTGTTGAAAAATTCCGAAAATTTTGTAAAAATTGTTTGACCATTATCGGGAAAAATAATTTGAAAAAGATCGATCAGTACGTCAAATGAAGAAAATGACTTTTTATCATTAAAACTCAAAAATTTAATAGTAATATCGTATAAAAAAAATTTCGATTTTTTTTTTGAAAAGAACGTTCAAAAACACACATTTTGAAAAAAAGACTTTTAAAATTGATGCATTTTTAAGGAAGTTATGAGCATTCTAAAATTAAATGTCATGAAAATTCTCTAATTTTTAGAATTCTATAACTCGAAATCGGCTTGCTAAAAAAATTTGAAAAAATTCATGGAAGTTAGTCTCAATTAGTACTAATAGAAAAAAATTCTCAAAAAAATTCGTAGATGCAGTTGTAGATGGACTTTCACTTTGGCGAGGAATACATCATATGTATTTTAATTTTGTTAAAATAATAATTTGTATATAAACATTTATTAATTTTTATTAAAAAACATTTATTGGAAAAAGAATTTAGCATTTAAAAAAATTTGTGGGCCCCCGGCAAGCCGGGGCCCTAAGCAACTGCTTATTTGCTTACATATAAATCCGGCCCTGTAGGTAGTATTAGTAATTTTAGCAGTTTTTTAGTTTTCATTGTAATAATAAGTCGTTTTAATACATATTTAAGGGGAGGCACCAACTCAAATTTTGACCCACATAAATTTAAATTATTAAACGAGTTTATATTTTTTTCCTAGCATCATTTGGGACCATTTTGGAAATTAAAGTCTTAAATAAATAATTATTTTAGATATTTATCTTCTTTCACAATTTTGACTATTTTTCATCAGCAATTTTTTTCCATGCTTTTTTAATGATTCTTTAGAATCTCTCGAATGGATTTTCAAAAATATTAATTTAAAAAAAAAATTCTAAAACGATCGAAAATTAAAATTTCCTTTTTAATTTAATTTATGCGAAATAGTGCTCAAGAACATAAAAGAAATAATAGATTTCACCCAAGTAGCACGAAATATTACTCTAATATTAAAATGTTCGCTTCATGGTAGTATTAATGGTTAATATTACTATAATATTATATGCGGTAATATCACCATGAGGCGAACATTTTAATATTACTGTAATATTACAGTACCTAATATTAAAATGCCGACCTCATGTTTTGAAAAAAATTTATTTGGTTCGAATACTCGATTACTTGACTATTATCAAATAAATATTAATTTGTATCAAATAATTATTATTTGAGACAATTAAATGGTATTTGTTTCAAATACAGAAATTATTGGTTCAAATACAATTTATTTATTTCAAATAAAAAGTATTTGGTTCAAGTAAATATTTATTTGATAATAGTCAAGTAATCGTGTATTTGGATCAAATAATTTTTTTTTTCAGTGTGGTAATATTACAGGTTAATATTACAGTAATATTATACACGTTTATTTGAAATACATAAAAATTTCAAAGTTTATATTATTATTTATTTAGAATTAATCAAATATTTTTAATTGTTTTCTGAAATTTTTTGTAATATTACAAATTACAATAATTAATTATTAATTATTATTACAGTAATATTATCTGGTCATGTTACAGTAATATTACAAAAAAATTGATAAAACTCTTAAAAATATTGGCCTAAATAATTCTTATCTTTTTGTGTTTTTATCATAAAATTTTGAAATTTTTAATGTATTTCAAATAGACGTGTAATATTACAGTAATATTACTGTAATATTATGTGCTCCTTGGGTTTTAACCTTTTTCCTACTGTTTTGTTAGCGAATATCACAGTTGTAGTCAAGAAAAATTATACAAAAAATTTTTTTTTTTAATTTTTTCAAAAGAAAAATATTTAAAATCGTAAATTTTTGAAATATCGTAAAAGCATTCTCCTCGCTCTAAATGCAAACTTTGCGTTCTGAAGGTTTAGGGTTCGATCCCCCGTGCATGCAAGATTTTTTATTCTTAATTTTAAGTGTTATAAGTACAATATTTGTTAATTTGTAATAATAATTATCAAATTAAGTGGAAGTGGGAAGTAACAAATGTAAAAAAAATTTAATAGTATAAATTAAATGAGGGAACTTTTAGCTTGTGAATTTTCTACCATCAATAAAATTTACCTAGCGATTTTTCACTGATTCTGAAGTGTATAAATTTTTAGGGAAATGAGAATCGGGACTAAAATCTCGATATTGTTCAGAATAGGAAAAAAAAGTAAAATAAATTAGCAATGAAAAGTAATAGAAATTATGATAAGCAAAATGAAATATTTTTTGAATGAAAATTTAAAAAATAAACATCAAAATGCAACACACGGATTTCCGTGTGAAAAGTCCACTGCAGATGAACGTAAACATATATAACTGGAAATGATAGTTAGCGCTTGTCTTACGCATTATGTCTGCATGCGTAAGACAAGCGCAAACTGAACAATAGTATACGTTGTGTAATTGGGGCACATTTCTTTTTTATCTCCTCTTTCTCTCACACTCAGGACAAAAGTAAATTCAGGGGGGAGGGGGTATCCTGACTACGTGCTTACTTATAATAATATGTTATTAAATCAATTCAAAATGATATAACGAATAAGTAAAATAAAATAAATTTTCCAAAAATTTATTTTATCTTTTTTTAAAATTAAAATTAAATTTTAATGCGACTTACAATTTTTAAATAAATCAATACATTAATTTATCTAAATTTGTAATTTTTTACATTTTTATTCTTTTTATTAATTGATTTTTTTAAACTTTGAAATCGTTTTTGCGAATAAAATCTGGATTAAAAAGAAAGTAATTTTCTTTTTGGAAATTTGCTTTTTTTTGATAAGCTGAAAATAAGGTATAATTATTAATGTTTACAATAAACAATTGTAGGATATAAAATATAGATTTTTTGTAAAGGGAAATGTATTATTAGTAAAATGTAATATTCTTTATTGAAATGGTGATGACAAGAAAGTTGTGACCCGGTAGCCGGCGGCAGTCGCGCGTTCGGCTGACGCATTGCAGGTGAGCGAGAACCAATCGCAGATCCTTTTGACTTGGCGGAATCTGTTCTGAAAACGAGACCGCACCCATACTATGTCATTATTGACTAATAAAGAAATGATATAAATATTCTAAAATGACAATTATTAACTAAATAAGATGAAATAATGGTGAAATTAAAAATGTTTTATTTAATAAATGTAAAATGTTGGTGTGTTTATTTTGTTGAGGCGTAGGAGCACGCGTTGCACCCGCAGAAGTTCGACGTTTCATATCTCTCCCCCTTCGCAGTCCGCAGTCAGCTAAACGAACCCATCCCCGCCAAAACTCCCTATTCACCCGTTGCCTACCGCAGTAATCACGCACACATTCTTACCGAACTCACACAATCGTTACTGTATGTGAGAATGCTTGCAGTTTGCGGCTGACATTATAAATACCTATGCGCATGCGCGCGCCTCTTTTCACAGCAGTAGAGAACGCGTCGCACACACGGCGCATATGCTGTGTAGACACCGCGGAGGGATACAAGCTCAACTCAAGCACCATCAAGGACTCCATTGCTGATCACAGTGTGTATCTTGTCGGCCGCCCCTTCATTTTGCGCGCTCTTAATATCAACCAAAAAAGTATTTTTTCCTATTCGTGGATTGTGCAGTGCTTGCTAAGTGGCTAAAAATTCTTGCAAGTTAAAGTGTTTAACTTCCATTTACTAAGGAACTTTTCAATCATTCGTCATGGTGAGTAAAAAGCTTTATCGATTTTTTTATATGTTTAAAAATGACGAGATTGTGCACGTGCAGCGCACAAACTGCCTTTAAACAAATTTTCAACCCTAAATATTTGCAAATTTTCAATATACAATCAAGTGATAAACTTTTTGTTGAATGCTTCATTTTCTTTTGCTTTTCACTTATTTTTCTCCCTCTTTTTTCATACACACATTCACATATATATATTTTATTCGATGATTAAAATATTCAATTTTCGGTTAGTCCAATTTTCGATTCAATTTTTTCTATGCTGAATAAAAATTCTTTTTTGAAAAAAAAAATATATATATATATACGCGACTGTGTGTATGTGTGAGTATGTGGAATAGACTTTAATTAGTGTATGTATATATTTGAAATTGATCATTTCATCGCAATAAAATATTTTCCACGCGAGGTTAAAATATATTAATAAGTATTTATTGTTTTTGTTAGCACTTATTTTCATTTCGATAAGAGACAATTACTTTTGTTTATTTGGGATTTGTAATAATGAAAACATTAATTCTTTGACAGATATCGAGTTTTATTCTTTTAACCTTTAATTTATACACGAGTTTTAAAAATTATTTAAACTTAACCTTACTATTTGATTTTTTCACATTAATTTCCTGTTGAGAAATTTCCCCTTTGAAATTTAGATTTTTTGCAACTAAAACTTTCATTTTTTTAAATTTACGTTTTTAGAAATTCTTAGTAAATATATTAAAAATGTGAAAAAATTGATTTTAGAAGACTAAAAGCAGATTTTGATAATTTATCTAGTAATCGTGATATTTAAGATTTATTATCTTAAGGTGCGGCGCACCTCGTATTTTAAGATTCACGAATTTTTCAAAGTTGGTTGGTTTTAAAATTATTGAAATTGGTTTTTTTAATTAAAAAATACCAACATTTTGAAATTATCTGTTTTTAGAGACTAGTATTTGACGGTTAATACTATACTATATTGACAGTAATTATACCTATTTGGTTTAAGTCTATTTTATCAAAATAATGGAGGCATTATTTTTTTTTTTTCAAATACGTTTCCAAGTTTAGAAAAAATTTCTTTACAGTAATATAAATACGAATAAAAACATGTATATTTTAATTTGAATTTCCAATTATGTGTGAAATAAAATTTAATTTATATATTTTAATAAAATTAAAAAAAAATTCTAATTTAAATTTAATGTTTATCTCGAATAAATTTGTATATCGCCTTAAAAGAATCCATAAATCACTGGATTTACCTAAAATATGAGATTAATGGCGGACAATGGTGGGGCATACGGAAGGTAAAGATATTTACGAAATGATAAAAAATATTGGAATACCCTACTTTGTAATCTAGTTAAGATTATACGATAATGAGAAGAAAATTTAGAATTAATTTATTAGAAAACGAAGTATCTTCATTTTTACACATAAAAAAATTTTTTTTTTGTAAATAAAAAGAACAATTTTATAACTCAACAATTTAAATTTTAATCAATATGAATACAACTTATTTAAAATTAAATATAATTTTTTATTATAAATATTAATATAATTTTCTATTGTGAATATTTGACATTGACGAACATTTTTCTAATTTTTTTTTTTAATTTTTATGGTTTTATAAAAAAAATTTCTTTTAGTCTTTAAATAAGACTCTTTCCTTGAAATTTACGACTTTTTGGACTATTTTATACTTCTTTATAAAAAAAAATTTGTCTTTTTTGGCTTCTATAGTGTAAAATACGACTAATCGATTTCTTTTGATTTCTAGTACAGGCAAACCTGTGAACAACGCAGTCCACGGGTGTGGGCTGCACTGTTCATAAACGTCAACATTCAGGGCCGTAACAATAACTTTAAAGGCACATTACTAAGTGATCATGTGTCTTATTTTATATTTCAAATACAGTCAAACCTCCACAATGACGTTTTTCATGACGGATCCTTCAAAATGACGGTTCGATTTAGTTTGAATCTCCCCCGCAATGGTGGATGGCGTTACATGATTTAAGCAAATTTCAGTGCCGTCCCTGGCGGGTTGTGAAAACCGAATCGCAACCGAATTCGGTTGGGATTCAGTTGGGTTTCAGTTACCAGTGAAAAAAGTAGCGAAAAACGTGAAAATTGCTGGAAAAAACTATTGGAATGAATAAATGAATGATTTATGAGTTTATTCATGCAATAGTTTGTTTAAATTAAGCTTTAATTAATTAATTATTAATAATAAAAGTCAAAAGGTGCTCACCTGTCACTTTAATGTTCGTGTTATTTCCTAAATTTTGGAATTGAAAATGTGAAAATTACGGAAAAATCATATACCTATTTTTTAATGGATATTTAAATTGTCCAGATTTAAGTTTTTTTGTTCTGAATATTGCATATTAACAATAAAAATAGTACATTTTGTACTAAAAGTTTATTGTTTGTTTTAAAGCAAAATACTGCTTTACCTATAATGACAAATAAAAAAATTGCCGCACGCATTACACGCTAGATGTCACGTCTTGTTTTTTCTGGTTTTAATATTTTATCATTTTTAAAGTTTTCATTTATTTTTTAACTTAACCCAAAATTTTATTCTAAAACTAAAATAAGTTTATTAATAATTGTTAATAAAATACTTTAATGAATAACAGCGCCCAGTGGCGAAAAAAATTACTATCGATAGTAATTTTTTTCGCCACTGGGCGCTGTTATTCATTAGGAAACGAAAATTTACCGATGTGTCATTTATTTCTCAAAACAAATTAAAGTATTTTATTAACAATTATTAATAAACTTATTTTAGTTTCAGAATAAAATTTTGGGTTAAGTTAAAAAATAAATGAAAACTTTAAAAATGATAAAATATTAAAACCAGAAAAAACAAGACGTGACATCTAGCGTGTAATGCGTGCGGCAATTTTTTTATTTGTCATTATAGGTAAAGCAGTATTTTGCTTTAAAACAAACAATAAACTTTTAGTACAAAATGTACTATTTTTATTGTTAATATGCAATATTCAGAACAAAAAAACTTAAATCTGGACAATTTAAATATCCATTAAAAAATAGGTATATGATTTTTCCGTAATTTTCACATTTTCAATTCCAAAATTTAGGAAATAACACGAACATTAAAGTGACAGGTGAGCACCTTTTGACTTTTATTATTAATAATTAATTAATTAAAGCTTAATTTAAACAAACTATTGCATGAATAAACTCATAAATCATTCATTTATTCATTCCAATAGTTTTTTCCAGCAATTTTCACGTTTTTCGCTACTTTTTTCACTGGTAACTGAAACCCAACTGAATCCCAACCGAATTCGGTTGCGATTCGGTTTTCACAACCCGCCAGGGGTATTCTTTGGAAGTTAAAAAACGAAAAATAAACAAAGATAATATATATGATTTAATTTTTATTCTTATCATATTTAATAATTTTAATGATAACTTTAATTATTTAAATTTTATAAATTTGATAAATAAATAAATTCAATTATTTCATTCATATTCTTATCATATTTAATAATTTAAAAAATAAACATATTATTATTAACTGAACAATAAAACGAAAATTTTTATAAATTTTTATCAATATTTTAATTATAATAAAAATAATAAATTCTTTTATTAATTCAGAAACCATGTACGAAAAATATTTGTACGAGTTTCGTACATAAAAATTTGACTGTTGGTCAATTAAATTTCTACCTTATCAGATATGATTAGGTTAATGAAATACTTAATAGAAGACACCTATTTACCATCTTAACTACAATATTAAAATTCAAAAACAAAATTACCATCCTCACTACTTATTTTATTAATTATTATAATAATTAATATAATTATTATCTTAATTACATTAATATGAATATTTATAATTTACACCGGACAAATAATTAATTTAATAATTAGTATGTTTAAATAAATAATGTTTATTAAATTTTACTACGAAAAGTCTCCCAGTGAGTTCAAAACAAAATATGTATAGGGACAGTCCTGGTGAAGTAATCGAGGGGTAAAGGAAAGGATGAAAGAAGGGGAAATTGCAGGCTGATCCGTCATTGTGGAGGATTGACTGTATAAAAAATTATTTCAATAAATGTTAATAATTCCATAAGAATAGATCATTTTCAGTTCGGTTTTTAAATGACTTATAAACACATTCAAGAGGAATGAGAAAAAAGTTTATACCGAAAAAAAACATTCATTTATTTATTTAACAAATAATCGGGCTTACAAAAAGAAAAAGAATGCCCTTTCGTACTAAAAGTACTTTAGTTTATATATAAAAATAGAATTAGTTAACCAATGTAACGTAGTTTTATAGATTTCATAACTAGAACTAAAAAAACTAGGTGGCGCTAGTATTATAATCGAAAATTAAATTACGTAGCGATGTGGTGAATTGACAAGAAATCTAATGTATAGAACAATGCAGATTTGCTACCCTACTGATTCTAGTATAAATTGAGTTGATACCATAATTGGTACTGTGACGATTAATTTTAAACAATGATTGAATTCTGATAAATTTTTCAGGAGCGTAAAAATTAATGTTTGACAATATTTCAGAACAGTCTACATAACCATTTAAAACTCGGAACAAAAAAAACAAATCAGTATAATTATATAAAAACATCGATAAGATTGAGGGTATTTTAAATAAATGCATAAAATCAAAGTAATCATAGTATATATACTTGGCACCTATTTTAGAATATTTTATACTTAAATTCAGTATGTAATATTCTTAAAATTTGAATTTTACATACTGAATTTATGTATAAAATATTCCAAAATAGGTGCCAAGTATTTATATTTTAAATTTCAGAATTTTTTTCGGTGTAAGTATACAGTTTTTACTCAATGGTCTTAAATAAATATATGATAACAGAAAACAAGAAAAAAATTATCTAACATACCTGAAATCCGTTGGGAGTCAAAAGTTCTAAACCAAAAAGTTTCAAAAAAATGTGCAAAGGACATTTGTTCTAAAGTATTAATAGTAATAGTTTTGATAAATTTTTAGTAAAAGTTAAATTAAATTAAAGTGTAGAAGTGAATAAATAATATTATGTATTAATAAATTTAAAATTATTGAAATGGCTCAAAATTTAAAAAACAGTATATTAGTTAAAAATAAAACTTTTAACTGAATTTAAACTCGACTAAGTAGAAAATTTTATTAAATGAGAATTTTTCTAAATAGAAATTCGTTGAAATAAAAATCTATTTTCAGGTTAAGTGAAAATCATTTATGATAAAGAATCGTTTGAAGTTTTTATTAAAATTAAATAACATATCAATTTTATTTCCACTAAATAGTTTTATTATCACTTCAATATCGATTGCCTGTCACGAAAAATAACATCAGCTCACATTGATTCGCATCATTTGTTTATAATACTCGTTGCAAGTCTCCAACAGCAACACATTACGTTTTCTAAAATGTTAATGTTTATTCTTAAAAATTTTATTACTTACAAATTTTCACAAACCGATATTTACAATATTATTTAAAATTATGATTCTATTTTACATAAAAAATTTCTATCTTATTTAAACTTTTGGAAAAAAAACATTTGCATTAACTAGCCATTTTTTTAGTGTATAAATAGTTTATGTAATATTATAGATTTTTTTGATTTACTAGCGCATTGCGTAATAGTATTTTTTTATGATGTGAATAATAATGAGAATATGTTATACTTTATTTTTTATAATTTGCGCATTTAACAGAATTCTATTTTAAATAACTTCTCTTTATCTAACTGTTTATTTTAAAAAATTATAATTTAATCAAATTATTATTTTCCACAATTGTTATTTAATATAATTTTAAGTGAGTCGATATTTAAATGCAAGAATTTCTAATTTCCTAAATCTTTATTTCAAAAAATTTTTATTTGGCGAATCGTTATTTAATAGAATTCTTAAAACATAAAATTTTTATTTAATAGAAATTGCAAATGGCCGAACTAACAACCAACAGAAAAATTTCGCGCGAATTTTTCTATCGGTTGTTGATTTGGCCATTTTCAATTTCTATTAAATACAAATTTCTATGTTTTAAGAATTCTATTATAAATAATGATTCACCAAATAAAATTTTTTTGAAATAAAGATTTAGGGAATTAGAAATTCTTGCATTTAAATATCGACTCACTTAAAATTATTTTAAATAAGAATTCTGGAAAATTAAAATTCGATTAAATGATAATTTTTTAAAAATAAACAGTCAGATAAAGAGAATAAATTCTTTGAAATGCTATTTAGAAAAATTAAAATTTGTCGAAAGGAATGATCTATTTAACAAAATTCTTTGAAATGAAAATTCTAACTAATTTAATTTATGGGATATTCATGCGCCAATTTGTGAAATCATTCAACATATTGAATCCGCCATCTTGAATTTTTCAAAATGGATATGTGAATTTCGTTTCTGTCTGTAATTTTTTTTTTCTTTTAACAAACGTTTAAATGCTCCCTTACATTTTACTGAACAGAATAGTCCATTTAACTGACTGTTTAGTTAGTCCAAAATGGGCAATTCTCTTTAGTAGATTTAATTGACATGATGAATTAAATTAAATTAAAATTATTTTTATGAAAATTTTACTAAATACAAATTCAATTAAATAACATTTCTATATATTAGAGAATCTAGTATATAAAAGTTAAACCAAAAAAAAATTTTGTTAAATTAAAATTCAGTTAAAAAAATTAGCTAATACGAATCCATACTATTTAAAACCTGCTTGAAATAAAAAAAATTGTTAAAATTAAACTTGACATGTTCTAATTTAGTATACTTCATTTTTTTGATTTTGAAGATCCCTTTCTCCTACCTAAAATTGAACAAAATTTCATTGTGGCCTCTGTCATAATAATAATAATGAAGATTATTATTACTATTATACTTAATTATTATTATTATATGGGTATTGTAATAATTAACTTTCTAGGTTATGTTCTACTTTCATACTATTCAAATAATATGTCCAATCACTTATGTTGTACTACTGATTTATCAATTCTTTCGACATACATTGTGCTTTTTTAAAGTTAAAAAAGTAGGCTTATTACACGGAACCAATTATTATTGTTTCTCTAGGTAATATTAAAAAAATAAACGACTCACTCTCTAAATTTGAATCAGTGAATTTCACTGCTAACCAGTTATAAGTATACCAAAACAGTGAAATTTGACTGATTGGTTCAGTGAAATCCACTGATTCAAATTTAGAGAGCACGGCACTGAATTTGATGTTATAGGTTCCATTTACCTTTGTCCTTGTCCAACTCCATCCAATTCCTTGTCTAGTCTTGTTTACCCATTAAATAATTGTGTTGTTAAAAAGTAAAAATTTCATAAATTTGCTTTTAGTATTGTTTCTACTTAAAATTTTAAAAATTTTTGAAAATCTGAGTTAAATTTTACATTAGGCGGTTTCCATAAGTGATGTCATACACTGAGAAAAATATGCCATTGAATCAACATCATTTCTGACAAAGGTATAAAAATTATTGATTCAAAAGCATATGCTATAAAATTTTTAAAATATTTTATAGATTATATAGCATATGCTTTTGAATCAATAATTTTTATACCTTTGGCAGAAATGTTATTGATTCAATAGCATATTTTTCTCAGTGTACTTCAAAAGGTCTAAAATAACCAAAATAAAAAACCTGTGACATAATTTATGGAAGCTACCTTATATAATTATAAATATGGCATTCTACAAAAAGCGGGCAACCTCGGTTTTGATTCGTTTTTCAATATTATTATTATATAAGGAATATTTATATCAAAAAGGACGATTAGTTAGAATTGTCTCTTAGCCGAATTTTTATTTTTTCGAATTATTATTTGATAGAATTTTCATATAACCGATTTTTCATACTTCAGAATTTATAATTAACCGAAAAATCATTTTACAGAATTTTCAATTGATAGAATTTTCATTTGTACGAAATTACAAATGGCCGAATAAACAGAAAAATTTCAGCGCGATTTTTAAAATCAACCAATCAAAAATTATTTATAAAACTGCAACTCCATCTACGACGTGTCTGTGTTTGCTTGCGAATATACCTTTCTCTAATAAAAACCGATTATTCTGATAGTTGATCTTCTCTTCCTCATGCTTTTTTTCTTTATGGAATAGTTAAAAAAATTTAAGTTAAACGTTTTTCGCAGGCCGATCAACTTACAGAGGAACAAATCGCAGAGTTTAAGGAAGCATTTTCCCTTTTTGATAAGGATGGTGATGGCACAATAACAACAAAAGAACTAGGTACTGTTATGCGTTCTCTCGGACAAAATCCAACAGAAGCCGAATTGCAAGATATGATAAATGAAGTCGATGCAGATGGTATGTGAAATTTATTAGTTATTTTAAAAATTATAATATTTATCATTTATGTCAAGGTATTTCTCTTGCTAGATACAAGTATTCAGAAAAAAATTTCCTCTTTTAAGAATTAAAATATTTTTTAAATTATATATTTTAGAATAAAAAATGTCATTTCTTAATCTAAAAATTTGTTTATTTACACACATTTTTAGGCAATCAAACTTTTTTTCATATCGCTATTACAAAACTTTTTAAGTGATGCAATTTCTGTTTACGATGACTTATTTTTTACAATAGATTATGTACAACTTCACTTTAACTTTTGTTTAACAAATAATGAAAATTATTTTTTTCACAATTTTTTTTGGGTGAAGTTGTAGATAATCTATTTATGTAAAAAATAAGCCATCGTAAAAACTTTCCCCTTGTAAATCGATAATTTTTCTTACAAAGAATGTAATTTAGAAAAATATTTTAATTCTTCGAAGGGTAATATAATTCTTTTTTCTGAATGCCTGTATGTAACAAGAAAAATACCTTTAAAATTTATATGTTGGTAATTTTGACACTTTGTAAAGTATAATATTTTTTTAAATAATGCCCTTTTGAAAATAATAACATTTAACTTACCCTGTACATTAAGGTGGTTTAAAAATACATTAGAGTAAAAAGAGTCGGAATTCTTTTGCTCTTACCCCCTGGGATGGAAGTGTGTCAAAGAAACATATATCCTTATTTTTTATTTTTATCAGAGACGTTTACGAAATAAAAAAAAAATCAAATGTCAACTCTATTTAGTTTTGATTCCAAAATCAGAATCAAAAGTCAGCTATATTTAGTTTTGATTCTGGTACCTGAATCAAAAGTCTAGTTAATTTAAGTTTTGGTTCCGAAAACATAATCAAAAGTCAAGTTTGTTCGGATTTGATTGCGAAATCAGAATTAAAAGTTATGTCATATGTCTTAATTTATTAGGTCTTACGTTTTAAGTCTCAAGTTTAGAGTCACATAGTGACGGATACTATCGGAATAAAATGTCAATATTATATTTTCGTTTCGATCTAGCAAACCAAATCAAAAGTACATTTTACTTTCGTTTCGTTTACCAGACGGAATCAAAAGTACATTCGACTTTCGTTTCGTTTACCAAATCGAATTAAAAGTCCGTTCGAATTTCATTTCGATTACCAAACCGAATCAAAATTATATTTTAATTTAATTTCGTTCACCTAACCGAATCAAAATTCTATTCTACTTTCATTATGTTTACCCTAGAGGGAATTTACTCAAGTAGTCAAGTGTACACTCTTCCTGTAATACTTGTGTAATACCGTGTAATAATGCGTTATTACGGTGCTGTAATAACGCAAAAAAGTCTGTAATATCTCTGTAATAATGTATACTAAACTGTAATAACGTGTAGTACTTAGTAATAAGGGTAATATGAGGTGTATTACCCGTAGTCAAGTATACATGTTTTTAACTAGTAAATTCCCCCTCGTGTTTACCAAACAGAATTAAAAGTACATTCTACTTTCGTATCGTTACAAGTATCGATACGAAATCAAAATTCGAATTTCGTGAAGGTCCCTGATTTTTATAAACTAATATTAAACCGTGACTTACACGGAAAGAAAAAGTTCAGGAAAAATTCCTGAAATAATTCAGTAACTCTGGATACGAGGGAAAAATTCAGAGATATTCATGAATGTTCAGTTGAAAGTCCGAAAAATTTTAGCAAAATCTCAAAATAATTCAGTACTTTCTCCAAATAAATTTAGTAGTTTCTTCTGAAAAGTTCTCAAGATCTTATAAAAGTTCGAATGTATATTTCTATTTACATTCATAACTTTTCATTTTGCTCGTTATGGAAGACTTCAAGATTTGGACCTGAAAAATTACGGAACTCGGAACGGACTCTGATGCGCAGTTAACCATTGCGCATCGCAATCATTGCCATTGTTCAAATCCGCCTGCAGTCAAATTTTCTGCTTTAGATTCTTAAGAGTATGTGGCAACCTCCCACGTGACCTAGTATGGAAAAATGTGTTTTGGTAGTATATATTTCACTCTAAAATGAAAAAAGATTTTTGTCTAAAATTTTGAGGGATAATAGATTTGGGTTCAAGGAATCTCGCTGTTCTCCGAAAAATACATAATTTTGTGTTAAATTATTAAAAAATGAAGTTTAAAAAGTGGCATTTTTAAACGAAAATGAAAAAAAGATTGCGGCGCATACACAGACGTTGCGTGAGTGTGTCAGTGCTCCAGGGAACAGCGCCAATTCGAGCGAGTGGCCACTGAATGAACTATGATAAAACACATTACTTTACTATTTATTGCTTCATTTTAATTATTTTTGCGTTATGTTATAGTAAATGTGAAGAACAGCGAGATTCCTTACACCAAACGAAATCATTTTTCCAAAATTTTAACCCGAAATCATTTTTTATTTCAGAGAAAGTTTCAAACCACGATAAAACGTCCTTAGCCCACATACCCTTAATAAAAATTGTTTCATGTGTGTGTTATATTAATAATATATGAGTTTGTATTTGATCGCTATATATAAATTGTCAACTGTGACGTAATAGTTATGTGTACGCGTGTGTTTACAAAAAAATGTGAGTGCTGAAAGGAGAAAAAGAACAAAATTTTTTTCGTCTTAGCTAAGAATTTTCAGAAATTAATAGTTCCGTAATTTTTCATATGAGGTTTTATGAGAAATTCAAGTAGTAACTCATCAATAAGTAAGAAAGTTGCTTTAACATTTCTGAAATGGACTAAGCAAATTCTAATTTGATTTCTTCTTGAATTATTATTAATGTTCATTTTAACAGAAAATGAGAAAATATTTTAGACTATGTCCAAAATATTTTATTACTTATTTAAACAGTTAAGTTTGATAATATCCCGAAATGGTCCCGATATCCAAAGTTACTCAACTGAGTTCCATGATTTTCCCTGAATTTTTTTCTTTCCATGTAAAGTCTTTCAAATTTGTCTACTGTACACACGGAAAAAAATTTTTTGTAGCGAAAAAAACTGCCCTCGCGAATAATACGTTTTTACTTAGGATCCATCGAAGTGACCATTTTGACGTCGAAATGATTTTTATTTACTTTTTTTAGCCACAGTTGATGTTTTCTCCTTTTAAGGATAATATGAAATAGTAGGCCTACACCCAGAGAAATGTTTTATGAAAAATTAAATTTTTATTTGGGTTTTGGAACATATTTATGTTATTACTTAAATCGGTATTTCATAACTGGCTACCGGTTTTGCTATGTAGGCCTAAAAAAAATTATTTAAGTAAATGGTATTTTAAAAATTTCCCCCTTTATTTGTGGGTTATAAATAAATTAAAAACTAATGGTATATTTTAGTAAAAAAAAATTATCCATATCTGTAAATGATAAGTATATTTTTAAAAATTCAAGATTGAAAAAATTATCGTTTGAAAGTATCGTTTTAAAAATTATTTAATATCATCAATAACAAACTGATTACTACAAATCTTCATAAAAATTATTATTACCACATGATAATTCATCCTTAAAAACAGGTTGATTTTATATTAATTTTTGAAAAACTTATTAATAAAAACGGTCTAAACCGATAGTCAAACTTACCCTATTCTCCCCTAAAGATTTTAAATGGACATTTTTAAAAGAATCATTCACATGGGTCATTCTACGCCAAGCGGACAACCTCGAACCTCGTTCGACGCTCGGACCCACGCTCTGATGGTAGTCGGGTAGCAATGGGAGAGCCATTGCTGCTCACGGCTACCCGACTACCAATAGAGCGTGCGTCCGAGCGTCGAACGAGTTATGAAAATGTGACGCTCAATTTATAATCTATTAATAATACAATAATTAATTATAATTATATCTTACATGTAGTAAATATTTTCCAAAAAATGAATTTGTGTGATTTATACTCCATGTCACAACCATACCCGAAAAATTGTTACAACTGTACCGTACTTGTAAATTAAGATGTTTACTAGTCAGTGCAGTAGTGCGTAATATTTTAATATTTGTACAAAGTAAATTAGTGCTTATAGTGAATGAAACTTAATGAAATTGTATTTTTAAATATCTATAATTTAAAATACAAACATTATTGAGCATAATTGAGGGACCCCATTCTATAAGTGGTTATAAAACTCACTAGCGATGTAGAGTTAGCCCTTAAAATTAAAGTAATGCAGAGATCGCAGTTTTGAACCAAACTTTACCATTTTTTTAAAATCAAAGTTAGATTAATTTAATACACAAATACGATTTAGAATTTTGAAAAAAAGAACATTTTATTGTACAATAATTAATTAACAAAAAAACATTTTCTTCTATTTATGGAAAGCGAATCCGATCAATTCAAACAATACCCCCGTGTAAGTATTTTCAGCCGGATTTTTTAACTTTACAATATTTGTTTATAACAAATTCATTAATATTTCTCAATTATATATTATAATTGTTATTATAGTGACTGAAGAACTTTTAAAATAAAGTTTTTTCTTTTTTATAAAAAATAGCGTTTTCCATAAATTAAGAGAATATTTAATCTTTTTTATTAATTATTTTACAATAAAATATTTTTTTGCAAAATTCTAAACCATATTTGTGTTCTAAATAAATCTACCTTTGATTTAAAAAAAAAATTGTTAAGTTTTGTTGAAAATTGCGATCTCTGCATTACTCTGATTTTAGAAGCTTGTGAGTTTTATAAACACATAAAATATGGTTCTTCAATTATTGTAAAATTGGTATAAAAAACAATGATTTAATATCAAATTGACAATATTTTGTGAATTTGAAAGTGATTTTACCAACATTTTATATTGCTTATAATGATAGCCGCGCGTTTCACACGGTAGATGTCAGTCTACCTATTTTCCCCTTTTTAAAAGTTAATCTTTTCTTACAAGAGTAGAGTGGGGTGTTGTGGCGAGTTTTGACATTCAAAAAACTGTAGCGATCGCAAAAATGAATCAATTTTAATGAACAACTTCTCATTTGAGGTTTTTGAAGAAGTGATTTTTTACTACCTGTTTTGGTCCGATAAAATATTATTTTTTAAGTCGATTCCTGACAACTGTCGTAAAAAGACTTTATGGCTGTTTATTGTCCAAATACGACTTTTTACGGCAGTTGTAATAAAGGTTTCACTTTTTCATGTCAGTGGCGGAAAAATACCGTTTGCGGCTCACACGAAGCAATTTTTAGGTTTGAATAAGATTTCAAGACTTGCTGTCATTGCAACTTTGGTTCGACTTGCACAAGTTAAATTCTTATCAATTATGAATCGGACATCAGATTTTTTAATATTCAAAATGACTGATATTTTTTAAGTCCATCAGATTCACTAAAAATTGTTTCTCGGGGGGTTTTCAGTGTCACTGATAACAAATTTGATATTAAATTTGTAATTAGTGTCACTAAAACCCCCCGATTAATTAGTTTTAAGCGAATCGAATCAATTTAAAAATTTTATTTGCTACATTAAATCCGCTACATTGAATTTTGAAAAACCAACATTGCATTCGCAATCAACAACCCCGAAAACTCCCTAGAAAGAACTTTCAACAAATCCAATGAATTTAAAATATTTGTCTAGCATATTTAATTTTGATAAACTATCATTGGATTTGTAATCAGCGACTTCGAAAACCCACAAGAAACAATTTTTAATCAAATCCAAATGATTTTTTAATTTTTTCGTCACAGTATAAAGAAAGTGTTAATTTAGAAGCAATTTGAGTACTAAATCGTCATTTACTTTTGATTTAATACCTGAAATCAGCTCTAACTTAGAACTTTCTTTTTACACTGAGCTGTATTGCAGTTTACCATAATATGTGGCAAAATGTTTAGCTTTCTAAACGATACCATTTACCGTTGTTTGTGCAAGTTTAGAAATTAGATCCAAAAATGTTCTGGCCCTTGTCTTCCTTTTTTTTGAAATAAAAAAAAATGTTTATAGGGTACAGTTTTATGGATCAGATTAGTGGAATAGCGGATTATGCGTTGACAAATCAAAAAAAAGTCTCTAGCGGAAGGTAACGTTTTCCACTATAGACTTAATTTTGATTGGCTAAAATTTATTTTGCTAATCTGCTCCATGTAACTGTACCCTTACACACCTCTAAAGATTTTCAACCCCCATGAAGGCGGGAAGGATAATAGTTCTCAATCAATAGTTCTAGTTAAAATCTTCAGCTAATCGCTGATTTAAGGAAATAATTTATAAACGTTTTCACCGTGTGGATAACCTTAATCTTCCGAGATGTTAAAGGCAGTAGATATTCTCTGCATATGCGCAGAATGTTTGTATACAGCTTCTGCGCAGACGCAGAATGTATCTACTGCCTTTAACCTCTCCGATGATTTTTATCCACACGGTGAAAATTGGCTCATAGTTTTGCTATACACATATTCTGGCAAATAGATTTCTGATAAATACTATTTCTATTAGATTAATCGAATGAAATTCCTGATAATGCGTCATACAACGATTTATTCAAATCGTAAATCGATGCGCTTCGTGGAATAGCCATGTTGTATATCTCCGAATTATTATTTACAATAATAATTAGACTTAGTCCACATATTACGTCACTTTTATAATTTTTTACCCCCTTCCGCCCCAATTTCACTCATCGATACATATACAGGGTGTCCAGCGGTCAGGAAAAAGTCAGGGAATTTTTTTTGTACTTCTTGCTGGACACCCTGATATATTACCGCCAGTTTTTCTGCAGGTTATCACAAATATCTAGTCTTCTTTTTCCCTTTGAAGTGTGATGTAATATGTAGATGAAGCCTTATGTTCTACATAGCACCCAAGCAACACAATGCAGAAGCTAAAAGAACTTTTATGATTGAGAAATTTCACGGTTGGTACTAAGGCTAACAGAGTCTCGCGACGGGTTCTAGTAAATCATCTTATGACACTTCGACATATAAATATGATTTATACTTCATCAGCTCCAAGCAATTTCAAAACGCCTTAAATTCTGTTATTAAGACGTGAATTAGAATTGGTAAAGGGGAAAAAGGAGATTTAAAACTCGAAGGGCAATACTTAAGATTTTCCAGAAATTAGATTAGTGGGAGCAGTGTTAGCAGTTTGAAACCATCTTTATCAAACGTAGCATTAAAAGGACTCAGCGAATCAGTTAATGATATTATAGGATTCGAGAAAACGTTTCATTGGGACTTGTGCACTAAAGTTATCATCATGATAAAAGTAACTAAGCATCTATACCTGAAGATGAATTAATCGATTACGTCGTATACCGGATTCTCACATAAGAACTGAAGCTCAAATATATAGGTTGAAGACTACAGTTGAACTCTTGAAAAGAGAAAATATTACAGAAAAGGAGATCATCGATACCTAAAAGAAAACCGACAAAGGTCAAACCAAGCAAAGAGTCCAAAGGGACAATTTCGACGTCGGAGGAAAATGAAGCATTGCTTAGTGTTATAACTAATAAACCAAGTCATCTTGCTTCGGAGTGCACAAAAGATGTGTGAAGACATGACGTATCAAATTGATGATTGTCCAAAAAGACAAGAAATCGACTCATCTCATTCAAGAAGATCCTAACGATGATACAGCGAAATATATATCCCCCTGTTCTAGTAATAAAAATAATAAAATTGATCTAAATCCACCTTATGAATTATCATTATAATTGTAAAAGATAGGAATTTCTCCACGTTTTATCAAAAGGACATCATGGCAGCTGTTTATTCATACTCTTCAATCAGTTTGATAAAAAGTAAACAGGTTCCGAGCAATTTACGATCTCTATTTTATCATAAAATCACAATTTTTACGAAATCAATGGTTCAAAATTTGAATATTTTAAGATTCTTTAAGACGAAGGTAATAGTGCTCATGCCCTTATAGGAAAAAAGACGGAGGTCTTTTGGGAATGCCCGGGTCCTTCATAAAACAATAGGATTATAATCTCAGATATTACATGAAACTATGAATTATCTACCTACTTTGACCAGAAGGTACAAGGGGATGGAAAACGCCTCTTACGATATACAATTCCTTGCGATACCTTATTTTTACCCCACAAAATAGACGATGTCTAGAGTGCAAGAAAAGGGTGCCTAATGAAATGGTGAAGCTGTTAGTTACAGTCATCTTGGTCTCGATAACACTCCAACAGGAGTGAGTGTGAGTTAGCAACGACAAGAATCGTGTAATTCCAGCGGTAATCACGCGGATGTTCTGCTTCTAAACCGAAGTCTCACCTTTCCTCTTGAAGAGGAGGCGTAGTGCGTTCAAAGTTCCCTCCTTAGGACTTAGGGTCAGTTTCACCAACTCTGGTTAAAAGTTAATCAGCGATTAAAGCCAATTTAACCCCTCATGATTGGTCGGTTAAGGATTTAATTGCTGATTAACTTTTAACCGGAGTTGGTGAAACTGGTCGTTAGTCGCCTCTTACGACACGCGATGGGTTATGGGAAGACAAATTCTCGACCGGTCTTCCACAGCTGTCCTACACACGATGGGGAGCCCATGGCGTAGTACTTTTACACATAATCGGTTTGTCCCAACTACACTGAAAAAATTTTAGTTTCGCTGCGTTACCTGCGAGTGTCGCTACTGTGCTAAACAGAGTGTAGCGCCTCTCTCGCTTTTGAATATCTGCCATTTTTATGACCAGCGCTGGTGTGCCGAAGGAAATGACAGCGACAATTTTTTTCTGCTAGTAGCATTCCCATTGAAAAAAGCAAGCAGCCATTTGAAAATCGGGATCGCTGCTCTTCTTTTGGCAATGCATCACTCTGACAACGAAGCAGCAGACTATCTAAAGCAAGAGAGTTGCAGCGTTATGGGCGACACCAAATTTTTTTCAGTGTACGTGTCCCAACTGAAACGGTACTTAGTGAGAAGGGTACGATCCTCCCGCGTTTCTGGCAGGCCAAGTGGACAGACACTTTCCGTGCTTAACTTTAACCTGCCAGAAGGCCATAACAGACGCTTCGAAGACATGTAAATAGACTTCTAAAATTCTTTCAGCTGCCCAGCCCTGGAATTTCAATTTAGAGTTTGGATCTTTTTTCTGCTAAAAGGCTTGTTTAATTACCTGTCCAAACAGATAATTAATGTCTATTATACTGACAAGTAATAAAAAAACTTATTACTTATTTTTATAATAAAAGTAGTATTTTTTATAATACATTATAGAAAAAACTATTACGTGATTTAATGTTCTTTTATTAGTGTAATTTTTAAAAAACCAAAAATATTTACATGTTCTAATAATATTTTCTTTTAGGTAATGGTACTATAGATTTCCCAGAATTTCTGACGATGATGGCGCGAAAAATGAAGGACACAGATAGTGAAGAAGAGATTAGAGAGGCTTTTAGAGTTTTTGATAAAGATGGAAATGGATTTATATCAGCTGCGGAATTAAGACATGTTATGACAAATCTTGGGGAGAAGCTTACTGATGAAGAAGTTGACGAGATGATTCGAGAAGCAGATATTGACGGAGACGGACAAGTTAATTATGAAGGTATGTTTTTTTTTTAATAAAATATATCAATTCAATCAATACGTATTGTTATTATTAATGTGGTGATGAAGATATCCGATCAGGAGCTTAAACGCCTAGGCATTAAAAAGCAAATATAAGTATATTTTATAATAACATTAACTATTTTTATACTTAACATTGAGTCGGTTATCACCGTGTAGGTTAAATTTTATCTCCGCGCAGATTAAAGGAACAGGATAAATTTGCGTCTGCGCAGAACATTCGTCAACATTCGTAAATGTGTACGAAGATTTACGAATGTATCAATGTAAAATGCAAATGTATCAACCCACTCGGTGAAAACTGACTCATAAATTAACTGTTATAAATTTGGGGACAAAATGGAACATTTTCGAAGGATTCTTTCGTGTTAAAAACTAAACCAGGGTGCATGGCGGATTGTTAGAACCGAGATCTAACCGAGCACTGTTAAGATCCGGTCAAGATTCGGTTTGGTTCAGTTTGAGAAAATATATTAAATAAATGGAGGGAAAACATTTTCATATTTTCTATTTTATAAAATTTATAAAAGAGAAAATATAAAAATGTTTCCCCTCCATTTATTTAATATATTTTCTCAAACTAAACCAAACCGAATCTTGACCTTGAGGAGCAATTTTTCAAAACTTGATAAATCCATTTTAAGTAATTTTGAGATAAAGCGACAAACGTTGTATTTTTAAAATCAGTAGAGGTAAAAAAAGTAAAAATACTTTGTATAGATGCTACCGTCCATTTTAATAAACGGTAAATACAAAATTTTTATGTTACTTATTATTCTGCCGTACGAAACAAAAACTTAGTTAACTCAGTTTGTCGTTAAGGTAGATTTTCGCCTATCCTGTTGAATGATTGTCGCCCATAACGACAAACTGAGTTAACTGAGTTTTTGTTTCGTAAGGCAGTATTGATAATATTTAAAAAACAAAAATGGATTTATTTAGTTTTGATTCAGGACACTGGATTTATCAAGTTTTGTTTTCTTATAGGTTTGGATATATTCTGTTTTGTTTCAGTGGATTGAGTTGAACAAATTTTTATTACTGACAGTTATTTTTAAATTTAACCTTAAAGTGGGAATGTTATTTTTTCTAATCGTTTAATGAAACGTTGATTCATTAATGTTTATGCACAAATTTAATTTGTCAATTGAACAGAATAATTATTAATAAATACAAATAATTCTCATTATCATGTAATAAAAGCGAGAATGGTTTATGTTTTTAGTTTTTAAACCAAAAACAGAAAAAACTATAAAATTTAAAGTATAAAATTTGTAAAAATAGATGTATTTTGTTTATTTATTATTTATTTATGCATTTTTATTGGTCAAATTAAAATATCAATGATAACAAAAAATTTACTTCAATATTATTAAAGTGTCTGATAACAAAACATTTATTTCTTTTTACAATGAATAATTTTTCTTTTAAACTACATATTGCGGTCTATAACTTTTAGTATTTATACAATAAAATAAACTTCTATTTTGGAGTTCCTTCTAAACATGGAAGCCGCAGTCTTCATCTAAACAATTTCACACTTGATCGATTTCCTGGTCATCGTAAAATGTCGCTGTATTGTTGTTCTGATTATTCAAGAGAGTACGATACCATTCTAAATTCGGTAATTGTTCCCAATTTGCTCCGAATTGCTTAATTAGCAAATTTTCCACGTCCGTTAGCTTTTCCTTAGAAATTGGGTGATTTAAATTTATTTTATCCATCTCGACGTTCGCATCAGATTTTCCGCGTTTTAATAAAATTTTCGGTGCTTCAGTTTCTCGTTCATATTTGTAATATTGATAACAGGTGACTTTACATCGAACGTTTTCCTCCTTATTGGGGAACTTTTTATTAAAATCCTCTTCATGTCTGATATTCCTTCAACTTTTTTGTAGATGTTTAGAAGAGACTTTATATCGTATAGTTCCCATTTCACTCAAAGCGTTTTTACATATCCGATTTCCGAAAGCAATGTTTCATACTCGCTTGCAAGAGTAATCGTAGGTTGCTTGCGTAACACTTTTTCGACTCTACCAAATACTCGATCGGCAGGAAGAAAACTGTGTCCCCTAACTGGAAATACAATCGTAATATCAAGTATGTTAGCAGGTGAGTGGTTTTGAAGCCAGTTCAACAAAACATGAACTACGTGAGAGTTTTTATTTTGTCCGGGACAACCATCACAGAAAAGGCGAAGATGATTTATTTTTTCGAAATCAAGAGATTGTAAATAATTCAATAACGCTGACCCTATCTCAACGGAACCTCGACTTGCTTGACTTTCATCCCAAGTGAAAAAAGTAGGATCTTTCGTATCCATAGACACGCAGCAGAAATTGTAGAAACTAATGTGACGAGAGTAAAAAGCTTCTTGGATTGGAGTTTTCGGCAATTGTTGAACTTGCTGCAGATCAAAATAGAAGGAATATGTATTATCTGGGTTTTCCTTCGCTAGTTCGTAAAAGGCTGATGCTCGCAGTTTGTGGATTATTTGATTAGTCATTAAATTGAGTTGCTTTGCTTGATCAGTCTCGACTTTAATACAATTTTTCAATCGAGTACAAGTAGTGCAAGAATCACTTGCAGGTGAAGAAAATCCAATATTGAAGTCTGTGACGAATATTTTTCGAAACATATCATACTTCACTTGTAAATCTGGAATAATCTGATTGTAGCAAAAATGGAGATTGGATATAGATGAATTTGCCTGTAAATAAATTCGATTATATTTATTTCGCGAATAGTGGCTTTCAATTCCGTGCAAATTACCAATAAATTCTTTTACAGCTTCCTTTTCATTTTTTAAAATGTGACCCCTGCGGTCTCCTCCTCTTGTCTCTTTCGGAACACAACCTTTATGTATAAACCTAGAAACTGTACGGATGCGAGCCATTTTTATACTGAGAGCGCACTCAAAAAATTTTTGACAAACTTGTATCTGCTTTCCATTTTCATTTTTCAAATATAAACTTATCGAAATCGTCCTTTTTTTCTTCGATGAATTTTCATCTTTGCATTTTCTTCGCTCTGGATCAACTACTCTTATCATTGAATTTAATTTAACATTCTGAATATTTCTATCTGGTTTCTCGAAAAAAAGGGTTCTTATTCCAAAAACCAAAAGCTTTTGGTAGTTCCTCTCTATCAACAACGGTGGCGCCAAGCTCCTAGGCATGAAATATAGAGGCACAAAGGACACACTTGGTGTCCATAACCCAAAAGAACCCCCTTCTAAAATCATAAATAATATCCAATAAACTTAGGAAACTTAATAAATTAATTCTACATATGTTCTAAAATATGTATATTGATAACAAAATTTTAATAAACCACTTAAACCGGATAAAGTGTTTCTTCGAGTAAACGGCTAATATTAAGTTTTGCTTACACTTTCACTTCCGGTGACCAAAGCGCCTTCTGGCTGCAACGATATATTATTCCCTCATAATAAAAAAGGTTTTTATACAAAAATTATCGAACTTTTAAGTAGCAAATTTTCTTTTACATCGAATTTTCAATTAATAAAATATCCATTTCACAGAATTTATGTCTTTTTAAAGCAATTTTCAATGAGATTTTTGTTCCTTATGTTTTTTGATATCGCTCTTTCCAAATCCGCAAACAAAATTTAAAAACCAAAAACTTAAGGCCTTGTTTTTGAAAAAACACGGTTTGTTGAATTTTTTTTTGAAATGAATATTTTTCGAAGATATTTCGCTTTTGAAAATACGTAAAATCTCATATCGCGTGCCCTAATGTTTTAGCTTTAAGGTGGTAGAACGTACTTTCAAAAAATGTAAAATGGCTGTCAAAATCAAAACTTTTTAAAAATCCGAATCTAGGGTTTGAAATTTTCAAAATTAATCGAATTCGATTGAATTTTGTAGTCGCCGATTACAAATCTGATGTCAGTTTTCAAAAATTCAAAATGGCGGATCCAATATGGCGGACGACAAAATTAAAAATTTATCTGACGTCGGAAAGTTCTAACAAATGGAAATTCGACGTTTTAAAAGTTCTATAAAATGATAATTTTGACATTGACCAATTTCTTAAGCATTTAGTACTATTTTAACATATAAAAATCTATTTAGAATTAGAATTTCGATCTATATCTAGGAAGTTAAACCAAGAAAGTAAATTTTTTCAAGAAATAAATATTGTATCCTATTGTTCTCGACTTGTGTTTTTCCGAAATACTTAAAAGTTTGTAAAAATAATTTTTAAAATAACATTAACAGATTAAAATAACATTTTTAAAACGTTTAAAATTAAAATTTCAAAAAAAAAAACAAATCTTGTGCACAAATTTATTTTTTGAAATACTGAAAATTCCGGGCAAAAAAAACAACATTTTTAAATGTTTCAACAAACAAATCTTGAGCTCAAATTCATTTTTTAAAAAACTCAAAATACTGGGAAAAAAATTTTTCAAAAAATTTTAAGAAATTAAATCAAAAAAATCGGACAAGTGCGAGTTACACTCGCACTGAAATCGAGGGTTCCGTACTCGAAGCGAACTTATTTGGTATAAAAACAAATGTTTAAAAAATATGTGTTGTATGACAACTAATATAAGTAATACAAAAAGGAACAATTTTCTTGAATTTTACAAAATTGTTCCTTTTTGTATCACTTATATTAGTTGTCATACAACACATATTTTTTAAACATTTGTTTTTATACCAAATAAGTTCGCTTCGAGTACGGAACCCTCGATTTCAGTGCGAGTGTAACTCGCACTTGTCCGATTTTATTTTTTAAAAAATATTTTACTAAAAAAATATAAGAAACATAATTTTATTTCAACTCGCAATATTTTTATTGTATTTACATTTTAAAAATATATTGAATATTAAATTTTATCTTTCTAAGTAAAAAAGAGATAAAACTTAAGATATTGATATAAGGCTAGTAGCTGCTTGTCAAGGAAAAATCGAAAGTTATCTAAAAAATAAAATTTGTTTATTAATTCCAGAAAAATCAACTCCAATCATCCTCGCAATATTTTTTTTGTAATCTACACGTAAAAATACGTCAAAATATATAAATTTGAATCACTGTAGAAAAACTTTTTTCGTTTTTTGCGGAAAAATACATTTTTTTCTGAAATTTATCATTTTTCTTCAAAAATTTGATAAAAATTGATCATCAACTCCAATCGCGCTTACATTTTTTCCCTGTATTTTTCACGCAAAAATTGAGTTTTACAGCAAGTATGAACAGTCTGGATTGAATATTGTGTGCGCTAGGGAGAATAAATCATTTTTTTCTAAATTTTTGATTTTTCCTTGACAACGCTATGTAAATTAATCCGAATCAAGTTCGCTATAATTTTCCTGTAATTTTCACGTAAAAATACGTAAGTGTGTCAAATTTGAGCTCTTTATGTCAAAAGATGTGGCCGCTAGGGGGGGGGTACATACTCATTTTTAGGTATTTTTCGTAAAAATTCATGGTTTTTCCTTGACAACGCTATGATAATCAACTCCAATCATGCTCGCTATATTTTTCTTGTAATCTACACGTAAAAATACGTTAAAATATATAAATTTAATTTCCTTTAAATAAAATTTTGTTCGTTTTTGGTGGAAAAATACATTTTTTTCCTAAAATTGTCATTTTTTCTTGAAAAACTTGATAAAAAGTTAATCATCAACTCTAATCGTGATCGCTTTTTTTCCCCTGTATTTTTCCCGTAAAAATACATTTGTATACTAAATATGATCTGTCTGGGTTGAATATTGTGTGCGCTAGGGAGAATAAATTATTTTTTTCGAAATTTTTGATTTTTCCTTGACAACGCTATGTAAATTGATCCGAATCAAGTTCGCTATAATTTTCCTGTAATTTTCACGTAAAAATACGTAAGTGTGTCAAATTTGAGCTCTTTATGTCAGAAGATGTGGCCGCTAGGGGGGGGGTACATAGTCATTTTTAGGCATTTTTCGTAAAAATTCATGGTTTTTCCTTGACAACGCTATGTTAATCAATTCCAATCAAGTTCGCTATAATTTTCCTGTAATCTACACGCGAAAATACATATGTGTACTAATTTTCAGCCCTCCAGATAAATTTATGTGGCCGCTAGGGGGGGGGGGGGTACACGATTTCAAAAAAACCGATATTAATAGGGTTCCGAACCGAGTACGGAACCCTAAAAAAAGTCAAAAATTAAAAGAAATTATATTGTGTCCAATTGTGGTTTTTAGCTCAATTGTGCCAAAAATTTGCCAAAACATATTTTTTATTTTATTGCTCGGAATTTTAAGTTTTTAAAAAAAATGAGTTTGTGTACAAAAGAGCACAAGTCGAGGACAGTTTAGGAAAAGATTTATTTTTTGAAAATTTTAACTTTACTGTTCTAACTTCCTGGCCATTTTAGGTCGCCTATTGCCAAAAGTAAATTTTGTTTTAAAATTTGGCAGAAATGTCTGCCGTGCAAAACTGAAATTCGGCAACTTGTTTTTTTTATTTAGGTTATGTTACTCATTATGTTTCTTTTAAAAAATTAAAAAAGACTAGATACAGGAAGTGAAACTTCGCTGTATTCCCACAGTGAGTAGTGGCATTGTAAATAAGCCCACAATAGGCGTGTCTTTTCATTTGGGGCATTGCTATTTAGCCCTTTGAGGTTTTCAAGATTTCAGGCAACCTGAAATTTTTTTTGCTATCTAGTGCATGAATTCCTTGATTTTTAAAACTGAATATTGAACAAATGTTTTTCATTTAGTCTAATAAATTTCCAATTACAAACTCTGATTTTGAGACAAAAAACCTAATTATAATTCTTTTTGATTATGGTTCTTAGATGAATAAAAACATTTCTCAATAGGTTTTAAAATCAGTTTATGTGCCCGATTTAAAAAAAATTGACTTTTCATATAAATAGTGTTTCATGGGGAACCAGAATTTATTAAATGTACATATATGTATAGATAATAGATGTTTTAGATTTGTGTTCATATAAATTTATTAACAATGTAGTTATTTTCTTGTTTCGTTTTTATATTTATGCGTTAAGAGTGTCGAACGGTATCTGAAATTCTTTGGCAAGAAGAGAGCTTCAATTATTATCGCTCTGAACGTGAAATAATATTGATTTTAAAATACTTTTTTCTCGAAACACGGACACTTTTTACAAAATCAGCCAAAATCCTCATCTTATAAATTTCCTAAATCCAAAAGACTGTACGAATCCATAGAAAAACGCGATTGCAAAACGAAAAGTAGAAAAGTAATCTGATATCTGCCATCTGACGGCGGCAGGAGGTAATGAACCTGTCATTATATTATTTTCCTACTTATAGTTTTTCAATCTTGTTTTTGTATGGATTCGCACATGCGGATTTAAGAAATTTATAAATTTATAGATTTAAATTTTTTTAATAAAAAAATTATATTTTAATGGTTCAAATATATATAAGAAAACAGCCACTAAATCTCGCATCGATTTATTTTAATGTGTTTGAGAAAAAAATTCCTGAAATTTATATATTTTTGTCCTTCTAAAGCTAGACGCCCTCCTTAAAAGAAGAAACATAATGGGTAACATAACCTAAGAAAAAAAACGGTATTTTAGTTTTGCATGGCAGATATATGTTAAAGGCAACAATATAAGCGATTGAATAAAACAGAACTGAAATATAAAAATATGTAAATTATTAATGATTATTTTTTTCTGTTTTTCAGAATTCGTTACGATGATGACATCAAAGTGAATACAACTTTCTTGCTGTTTATTCTCGCGTTTTGGAGTGATGTTGATATATTAAGCAACAATAAAATGACTGTAAGACAAGTGAAAACTCGTATCAGAATGTAAAGTAATGTCGTACGCGAGATATCAGTGCACCGTACGTCTTGTATTAATCAGCGTTAATGATAAGTAACCTGAGTGGTTAATTATTAAAAAAAAAAAAAAAAAAAAAGAAAAAAAAAAGAAAAGATTTGCCATCGACCATTTCTTCAACATGTGTATTTATCTCTGCGTGCGCGTGTACACATACAAACAAATAAACACATATATACACATAAACACTATGCGCGCGAAAAAAAAACTCGTTAGAATAAATTCTCTTACTTTCGCAACTAAGTATGTGCACGTACGTGATTAGCGCGCGAATAATGGATTTCAGGTTTACACTCCTTTTTTAGTGTATATCAGATTCAAATTTGAGAATGACAGATTCTCTCTGCGCAGAAAATACTAAGCCTAGCAACGCCTATTATAGCGAATGTTTGTCCACCTTTTTCATGGTAATTCCATGTCAGGAATCGATTAGAGAGTCTAACCAAAGAAAATTTATTGCTACATTCAATCTTGTTCACTACTGTCATTAGTTCCTATAAAAAGCATACTTTCTTAAGATATATACTTGTATAATTTCACAATAATTATTCTCTTTTTCAAAGTTCAGCTTCAATGATTATGATGATGATGATGCTTTTTTATGCGTGGCTTACCAAATTTAGGATTCTTGCATTACAGTTGATTTTTTTTGTTCAATCAATTAATAAGGATCTTACCTCTCTGAGTATGAATGTTTTGGTACGATTGTCTATTTGATGATTTTTCCTAAACTTATAATTAGTAAAAATATGTAGTGTTTCTTAATTTAATTTGTATAAGTACTGTGCAACAAAGTGTATAAAAATCTTTTTCTGGGATATTATAAAAACCTTTAAAGAGGTACATACAGCACTTTTTTAATCTGTACATATTTTTATTATCGGTTAATATTATCAGAAACTTACTTTTAAGATCCTTCATTAAAAAAAAAAAATAATCGTATATTTTAAACGATAAAGTCTGTATTTTAAGTCAAATTCACGTTAGTTTAGAAAAAGTATTTTTAATTCTTTGAAAATTCTTGAATTTTAATTTCTTAACATTTTTAATAGTCCACAAACCTAGCAAAAATTTATTATTTTAAAATTTGTATTTTTTAAATTTGAATCATTTTCTTGTCAGTCTATAAAACCTTCCTTTAAGTATCAATTAAACTTTTTTTATAATTTTATTTGGGATCCAGTTTGGTATTTCTTTTAGCATCAGAATTCATTAACAAAACATTGTTGAATCTTACATGACGATGATTTACAATTTTTAAAAATATAATATGTGGAAAAATTGAATTCATTGCACAAGAAAAATTTTATATTTAGCTAGAAATTTCATACAAGAGTCTAAAAAAATAAATAAATCATTATACCACTAAAACTTTGCTTAAAGGGACAAGATAATGCGAATTTTTTTTTCAATCTATTTTTGTTTATGCACTATGAAAAATACATATTTATAATAATGTCTAAAACTTTTTGATGTTAATCCGTAAAAGTTTTTGAATTATACTTTCCTCAGCACAGTTTAAATGTGTTTAAAAAAACACTTTTTATTTGACTTATTGTCAAGTAAAATATCTTTAACTAGTTACAATTGTTAGTCATATTTAAAACAATTTATAAAAGTGTTTAACAAAAAAAAAAAAGAATTCATTATTTAATATTATTGATTTGTATAAAAAGTCAGTGTTTTGTCATTTTCACATTTATTAATCAGATATGTATAAAAACGACTTAAATAAACTTATTTCATATTTTAAGTTATAGTAAAGCAAAAGTAAAATTATACATTGTAGGTATACATATATAATATTAAAAGATTATACTGCTAATAATTTAACTAATTTTAATTATTTGACGAAAAATTATAACAACTACAATAAATTTATGTCAGAGCACTGTGCTTTACTATTTCCTTAAACAAATATGTTTCTTTTAATTTTTCAAATTAAAAACTTTAGTTATTTAAAAATTAAGTAGTTTAAATTTATCATTAATGTATAATAAAAATATTTTCATTTATTTAGGCTGTGGATCGAATAAATCGATCTACGTTGACTGTTTCAAAGTGGTCAGGAATATCAAAAAGTTAAAAAAATTTAAACTCAAAAGTAATTTTTCGAAAAGACCATCTCACAGCAAAAACAAATGTGCAACTTTTTTCTCAAAGTTTTTTTTTAAATGAATAATTTATATGCAAACAATGGAAAACTTTTTTAAATAATAATTTAAGAAACATAACTTATAATTTGATCAAATAATCTGAAACTTTTTATGCAAACGTATCTAGATCTAATGAAACCAATGGAATGATAAAAATATTAAAATCCATTTTTTTCTTTATTAATTTTTAATTATTCTTTTTTTAATCAACATTTTTCAGCTATAACGACAAAAAGTCTGAAGAAAATTTTAAATTTCAGAGAAGCAGTTAAATATTTCTTCATCACTATTGAAGGAGTTGCTGAAATACTACGAGAAAAATTTGAAATCATTTTTATCAACCCGCCCTGGATAATATGACCTTTTTGATGAAAAAAAAGAATATTTTGCAAAGTTTTTCCCTAATCCTTCGATTTCGATGAAACTTGGCAAAAAGATAGAGGAGGCAGGGACGCAGTTCGACCTTCTCTGATTACTCACAGACCGATTCTAAATGGTTAATTCTACAAAACAATATTATTCATGCAAATTTATTCTTATCTCACGGACTCTATACAGAGTTACTGCTTAATAATAAAACAGATGCTAAATATTCGATTCATCACAAACTTACTCTAAACAAATAAATTCTACATTGAAAAAATTTTGGTGCAGCAGCTGCCTCAAACGAAAAATTTCTGTATTCAATTAACTTCATACTTGATATTTACCATGATTTTTTATACGAATGAAGTTAACTGAATATAGAAATTTTTCGTTTGGGGCAGCTGCTGCTCCAAAATTTTTTCAGTATACGAAAGTAAATGAAATACAATGCTACTATCCTACAAGGACCAACTCAACGCAAAGGAACTCTCCAAAAACAAGCAAAATCCATTTTTACTGATTCTACACAGCTGGTTCCTCTACAACGCTTGCGCATAAAATCCCCACAAAATCATGTGGGGAATACTCGATCCTTCAGAGACTGATTGAAAACAAACATATTCTACGAAAAAAGGTGAAATAAAATGTCACTATCTTCCGCAAACCGAATCTGCGTAAAAGAAATCTTTAAAAACAAGCAAAAACCACTTTTACTGATTCTATATAGCTCGTTCCTCCACAATGCTTGCGCCCAGGACAAAACCATTTTCTAATTGATCGATTCTTCAAAGACTGACTCTACACAAATAAGTTCAACAAAAGTATAAAACAAAACAAAGCTACTATTCAGTCATGTGAAGTTGGCACCACAATCTTAAAAAATGAAAAATCCACAATAAGTTTTGGGTGTATTAGCAATAGATCTAGAGTTCTATAAATTTTAAAACAATAGTTCCGTAGATTAAGACCAAAAAATACGATATTAAAAAAATAAGGTTCTAACTTCAACCAGCACTATAATTTTTGCAAAAAATTGTTCTGACATATTATTCCGGTAAAAAATACAGAGTTCTAGAGTTCTCTTATTAAACAAAAAATAGTTCCGCAAAATTTAAAAATTTATTTAAGAATTTTAAATTTTAGTCGATTTTACCAAATTTCTGGTATCTTCATCGAGAGTTCTACAAATTATTCTTATGACATTTTACTCCAAATTCAAAATCAAAAAAAGTGCTGAACTTTGAAATTTTCAAAATTTTATTTTTTCAAAAATTTGAGGTTCTATGAGTTCTAATTAGAGTTCTGGCATCTTCATCAAGAGTTCTACAAATTATTTTTATGACATTTTACTCCAAATTCAAAATCAAAAAAATTGCTGAACATTGAAATTTTCGAAAAAATTTTTAAATTTTGCGGAACTATTTTTTGTTTAATAAGAGAACTCTAGAACTCTGTATTTTTTACCGGAATAATATGTCAGAACAATTTTTTGCAAAAATTATAGTGCTGGTTGAAGTTAGAACCTTATTTTTTTAATATCGTATTTTTTGGTCTAAATCTACGGAACTATTGGCGATTCAAACAGCTACACTAGCGCCACAGTTGAACTAATTTAGGCGTGACTCGCTCTGTAGCACTGCATGTGTTTTAAATTATTTTTTTTTATTTAACGCTTAAAAATAATTTTACAAACGCAATAAAAATATCAGAATAATTAAATAATTTGAAATAAACTGTCAAAACAGAGACTGCTTTAGAGCGAGTCACACCTAAATTAGTTCAACTGTGGCGCTAGTGTAGCTGTTTGAATCGCCAATTGTTTTAAAATTTATAGAACTCTAGAACTATTGCTAATATACCCAAAAAAAATGCAATTTAGAACTTTTAAAAATATTTATTTTTGTATGAGATATCCTTGTTTGAAGTTTGCGTTTGAAAAAATTGATAGGTTTCGTTGAAACTTGTCTCTCGGGAGTTTCCAGGGTCAGTAACACACACTGAAATACATACTTTTCATACTTTTATAGTAGGAATACTTGCATACTTTACATACTTTATAGTATGACTACCCTGTTAATAGAAATGCTTAAAATCAAATAATACTTCCGAATATTCTATAACTACAAAAGATAGCTGCTCCTCCTCTATTAGAAACAAGTTCATGGCCTAATAGTACGAATGTCTTGTAATTATAGTTCCATACCTTGACGTGGTACAATTGCTCCTGGCACATACTATGCGATAGTGGCAACTATGAGCAAAAAGATAGATAGATATCTTTTTGCTCGTCGTTGGCAATATAATAGTATGTGCCAGGAGCAATTGTACCACGTCAGAGTATGGAACAATAATCACAAGAAATTTGTACTATTAGGACATGAACTTGTTTCTAATAGAAGAGACGCAACAACCTTTTGTAGCTCGGGAACATTTGGAACTAGTATGACAAGGTTAGTGATTAGTATAAAGTTCATGCTCTTACTTCCACACTAGCGTTTTACTACATTAGTATGTTCTTTACATGCACACAAAAATACATTGGAAACCACTGTGATGTCTAAAAAAAACCTTGTACACCTGTGTTACTGACCTTTGAAACCCCCGAGAGACAAGTTACAACGAAACCTATCAATTTCTTCAAACACAAACTTCAAACAAGGATATCTCATACAAAAATAAATATTTTTAAAAGTTCTAAATTGTAAATTGTTCAGGAAGATATGAGCTTTCAAATGTATATCATGAAAAGTTCAAAAAAATTTGTATCGTTATAAAAATCTAAATTATCCTAAGAAGGTTATTTTTTCTATTTTTACACGGAAAAAATTAATTCAGTATATTTTACAAAACTGTGACGGAGTAGCGGATACAGCTCTTTACGAAACTGAGTTTTGTAAAATGTGATGGATATTTTCGGATAAACTACAAAAATTTCGTTGTTTATACTGAATATTTCTGGAGTTTATCCTGAATATTTCGTGACATTTTACAACACTCAGTTTCGCAAAGAGCTGTATCCGCTACTCCGTGATAGTTCTGTAAAATCTACTGAATTAATTTTTTCCGTGTAAGGTCAAATTTCTCGAAAACCTAGGGTTATGGAACAATTCTGAGTTCGTATTCGTGTTTAGTGTCAAAAAAAACCTGTAAGAATCACCATATGCGATCCCAGATATAAAAAAAATGAAATTTTGTTGCACAGTGATATTTGTGCGAATTACTAACGAATTTTTTAAATATTTTTTTTAAATACCACTAGAAATGCGATAGCAGGGTAGCTACGCTTTCTGGGAACATGGAAAACCTGAAAAAGTCAGGGAATTTTATTTG